TTTATGTATTTAATCCCATTCTATTAAGCAATGTATTTGCTTCTGAGCTTCGATGATCCAGTTCAACCGTACTAATAAGCACAAATTACTCTAGACAAACATTTGTGTGTCTTTGTTTTATTGCTGAAGTGTGTTGAAATGTCTTCTTCTGCATTCTACTGTACTTTTCCTTCAGCCTGAGGCTCATTCATTTCACTTTTGGTGTGAAAAGGCTTTTATGTTTGCCAAAAATAGAACTTTTTTATTTTAAAAACAAACAAGCAAGCCCTGTCCAGATTTAAAAAGTAACGCAAAAGTAACGTAACGCATTACTTTCCATAAAAAGTAACTAAGTAACGTAATTAGTTACTTTTGTATGGAGTAACGCAACATTGTAATGCATTACTTTTAAAAGTAACTTTCCCCAACACTGGTCACGACGAAGGCTGTCCCAAACTGAAGTGCGTGGACCGTAAGATACGCTAAGGCCAAAGTGATATCTTTGATCGACATGAGCACCCGAATGAACGAGTACAATAATATTAAAGAATAAACAGAATAATCAGATGTTTAGATAAATTACCCTATAAATGATCGATAATAATTGACATTCTAACTCAAATGCGAGGTCATAATAAAATGGAGTCAGATTTGAGTTTAACCTAAATTTAATAACTTTGCGCGCTGAAAATACCGAACACGCAGGAAACCTTCATCCACAATTGGATACCTCCGTTGGACCAAGCGCGTGGACCTTCCAATCCCATTTGTCAACGCTAAGATAATTTAATCTCTTGTAGAGACATATAAGGATTCAGTGAGCCGAGGTGACACATTACCTGAGCTGCAGCAGTTACTGCCCTTTTTGCTCGGCCTGCGAACTGGTCAAATTAAAAAGTCATCTTCAAAGCCACTTCAACAAAGCAGTTGTCTGTGGAGGTATGAATACCTTGAGCTGTTTGTTTAATATATGTACTCACAATATATATTGTGCATAATAGTCTACCTGTGTACTTAATTATTTTATGTTTTACTATACACTGATGTGGACTAGGATGAAGACTAGCACTGCATCAATTTGTTGCAACCAACTAAACACAAAGGATGCTCACACCAAATGTTGATTTCATTTAGTTCATAGAAATTAATTGATAAAGTAAAAAAAATAAATGGCTATTTTTGATGACATTTCTGACCCACTGTGTGCCATGGCTGTAAGACGAGAGAGATCACATCATTTAATGGAATATTTATATAATACAGAATCATCCTCTGTAAAGAAATGAAGAATGTATTATTATCTTTGTAAATGTGCGCTCTTTTGAGCTAAAGGCTTAATGGAGCTGTTTAAAGTAGCCATCTGATCACAAATTAATCGGCACAGGCACTTTTCAATACGTGTGTCCTTCTTCTATGTGAAATAATCATAAATACCAGTTTATGCTGTTTGATTCTTGAAGGTCGTAGTTGAAAACTGTTAGCCCCGGCTGGCCCGTTCAGTCTAATCCTCTGTTTTTCTGTGTTTGCCTACAAGCTACAATTTAATGACACTTTATTGGAATTGATTGCTGCTTAAAAGTAACGTGACTGTCTACATAGGGGGGAGGGGGGGAGAAAATGCTGAAAGACAAAAATAAAGTTGGGGTGCTTGGACTCTTCGTGTGCATTTTGTAAGCAGAGGTCACACATTGAGTGGTTCCAGAAGGTGGCAGCACTGTCCCATCACAATAGCAGTAACTAAAACAGACAGTGTTGCCAATTTAGCAATTCTGTTGCTACTTTTCAGTCTACACAAGCAACTTTTCTTCCAAAAGCACCTAGCAACAAAAGTAGCTATTTTTATTATTTATTTGGCAACTTTTAGCAACTTTTGATAAGTGATTCAAATGATAAAAAGGAACATTTACCATTTCAATTATACAAAAAGAGAAAACCAAATATGCCTAGCAGTACACACATCACAAGAATTAAGATCAAAAATTAAGAATTAAATCTAAATTAAAAATACATTAGCTATCATTAACTAGTGGAACTTTATTGTAAAGTGTTACCGGAATGTGTTTTAGTGTCACAAGTGAATCCGAATGATCTTCAGATACTGCTTTTATCGCTCATCAGACACAACTTTAAGCAAACAGTGTTACAAATCCTATCAATTCTTATTTGAACTAATCAGTATATACAAAAAACATTAAAACATACTTCACCTAAAATACCTTGGGCGACCCATGCAACAGATTCTATAACTGTTGTCTCTCAAAGCCTCGAAAAGCTCCAAATTGACTTTTTTCAAATCTGATCAAGCTTCTTCCGGTTCATGAACTACTTGTCTTGGAGTCGTGCATCTTCGGAAGTCATGCATGCAGTTTACTAGAAATACCGCCCACACGACACCATGACGCCATTTTTAGCTGCTCCCGCCTTTGCTTTGTTCTAATCTCTACACTAAATGCTGTATTAAACTAATGAATGCATAATGAATACTAATCCCTGCCGTGTTAAACTCATGTATCGGTCATTACATCTGCAAGGTTTTAATTGCAAACCCACCCTGTGTCTGTTTCTGTGTGCTTCAGACTGCAGCAGCTGTTCCCGGAAGACACAGGCCTGTGACTGTGATGAGCTGACACACTGTGTTAGGACGTCCAAGCTTCTTTCTGCAGGTACGAATTACATGTTCCTCTTCAATATGCAGCTATGCCTGCTTAACAGGTTTCTAAAACAATTATAAGAGGAGAAAAGGCTGTTGAAAATGTTTTGACTAGATGCACCGCACTGTACGTAATACCGCCCACACGACACCATGACGCCATTTTTAGCTGCTCCCGCCTTTGCTTTGTTCTAATCTCTACACTAAATGCTGTATTAAACTAATGAATGCATAATGAATACTAATCCCTGCCGTGTTAAACTCATGTATCGGTCATTACATCTGCAAGGTTTTAATTACAAACCCACCCTGTGTCTGTTTCTGTGTGCTTCAGACTTCAGCAGCTGTTCCCGGAAGACACAGGCCTGTGACTGTGATGAGCTGACACACTGTGTTAGGACGTCCAAGCTTCTTTCTGCAGGTACGAATTACATGTTACTCTTCAATATGCAGCTATGCCTGCTTAACAGGTTTCTAAAACAATTATAAGAGGAGAAAAGGCTGTTGAAAATGTTTTGACTAGATGCACCGCACTGTACGTGAATCTGGATTCTGAGCCGTCTTCTTTCATTAGACAGTGAGCTGGATTTACAAGAATTAAAGCATTAGACGATGAGTGATAATGAATAATATGCATGGTTGAGGCAGGAAACCACATGGGCGTTTCCTGTTAAGATCTCAATGTGTGTTGTGTTTGTTTTGAGCTTTATTTTGGACTTTATTTTACCACATCTTTCTGCTGGAGTCATGCAAATTTCTAAGAATTGTTTTCTCAGTCTCACAGTTCTTTCACATCTGACATGACGAGAGAAAAGAGACACAACACTTATGAGCTGTACACTTGTGTACCGGACGAGTTGTCTCCGAAACTATCACCACGTGTTTGTGTGCTTTAGTTTCGCATGAACGGATAGTAGGCTACTATTCAGCTTCTAAATGGGGGATCCACAGTTAAAAATGAAATTTCACACGAAAAAGTTTGCATGAGGTTCTTTTTGCCTTTGCATGATCATTCCCCTAAAAATATATATATTTACCATTTTATCACCCTCATCACTTTCTTTTCTTTTGTGGAGCACAAAAGCAGCCATCTTTGTATGTATTTGCTGGTCTTTTGCATCCTATCACCACGTGTTTGTGTGCTTTAGTTTCGCATGAACGGATAGTAGGCTACTATTCAGCTTCTAAATGGGGGATCCACAGTTAAAAATGAAATTTCACACGAAAAAGTTTGCATGAGGTTCTTTTTGCCTTTGCATGATCATTCCCCTAAAAATATATGTATATTTTTTACCATTTTCTCACCCTCATCACTTTCTTTTCTTCTGTGGAGCACAAAAGCAGCCATCTTTGTATGTATTTGCTGGTCTTTTGCATCGGTGGATGGTGACAGATTGTAAAAACACCGAGTGCCATGATGCATATCAATAACCATGTTTTCTTGGAGATTTTTGCATCATGCATCAACACATTTTTTAATCATTTTAAATGTGCATTTAAAAAAAATAGCTGTGCAATAATCAAAAGCTTATTTGACACAGAAATCCCTCTCTGTGTCAGTGTTGGATGATGGAGAGCATCAATGTGATGTGTGCGGAGATTCAGATCACAGACGGGTTTGAGTTCAGAGTTCCTGCTGACAGATTCACTCTCTTCCAGCAGTCTGACTGTGAACCGCTCTGGTACTCACAGGTGAGAGTGTGTTTCAGTCCTCAAACTACACCATTATTCACACACACAGACACACACACAGAGACAGACACACACACACGGACGGGTTTGAGTTCAGAGTTCCTGCTGACAGATTCACTCTCTTCCAGCAGTCTGACTGTGAACCGCTCTGGTACTCACAGGTGAGAGTGTGTTTCAGTCCTCAAACTACACCATTATTCACACACGCAGACCCACACGCAGAGACAGACACACACACACGGACGGGTTTGAGTTCAGAGTTCCTGCTGACAGATTCACTCTCTTCCAGCAGTCTGACTGTGAACCGCTCTGGTACTCACAGGTGAGAGTGTGTTTCTGTCCTCAAACTACACCATTATTCACACACGCAGACCCACACGCAGAGACAGACACACACACACGGACGGGTTTGAGTTCAGAGTTCCTGCTGACAGATTCACTCTCTTCCAGCAGTCTGACTGTGAACCGCTCTGGTACTCACAGGTGAGAGTGTGTTTCAGTCCTCAAACTACACCATTATTCACACACGCAGACCCACACGCAGAGACAGACACACACACACGGACGGGTTTGAGTTCAGAGTTCCTGCTGACAGATTCACTCTCTTCCAGCAGTCTGACTGTGAACCGCTCTGGTACTCACAGGTGAGAGTGTGTTTCAGTCCTCAAACTACACCATTATTCACACACGCAGACCCACACGCAGAGACAGACACACACACACGGACGGGTTTGAGTTCAGAGTTCCTGCTGACAGATTCACTCTCTTCCAGCAGTCTGACTGTGAACCGCTCTGGTACTCACAGGTGAGAGTGTGTTTCTGAACTCAAACTACACCATTATTCACACAAACACACACACAGACACACACACACGCACAGACACACTCACACTCAGACACACACATGCACAGACACACACACTCACAGACACACACACACACACACACACAGGTTCGTTTTTGTGAAAAGTGGGGACATCACATAGGCGTAATGGTTTTTATACTGTACAGACCATATATTCTATTGCCCTACACCAACCCTACCCCTAAACCTACCCCCCTCACAGGAGACTTTCTGCTATTTCAGATTTTCAATACACTCCATTCTGTGTGATTTATAAGAATTTTGAAAAGTGGGGACATGGGGTAATGTCCTGAAAAGTCACCTTCTCCTTGTAATACCTGTCGTACCTTTGTCATTATACACATGTATGTCCTCATTTGTCACAAAAACGCGTGCACACACACACTCACACACATACACACACACACACAGACACACACACACACACAGACACACACAAACACTCACACACACACACACACACACACACACACACACACACACACACACACACACACACACACACACACGCACACACACACACACACACACACACACAGACACACACACACACACACACAGTGTTTCTGTCCTCAAACCACAGCATTATTCACAATCAAACTCATAATAATGCTTTATTTGATCAGGATGGTCGTCTGATAGCACATCCAGCGAATCCTCTGAAACTGATTGCTCCTGTTATTTCTGTCTCATCTGATCGTCTCGTCACGTCTCACTGTGTGAATGAACTTCGTCACAGGATCTACTGCGATGCTTCAGGAGTAAATGATTTCTCTCTACATCACGTTTATCTGTTTCATATTTAATCCTTCATGAACACTATTAATGATGCTCTTTAATTCATCACAGTTCAGTCTGGACACCATCTTCAGAGGTGAGAGAAACACTTTAGTAAAAACTCTGTGTTGAACTGAATCTTCTGTGAATCTTCTGTGAATCCTGATGATTGTGAATCTGTTTTTCAGCGAGGAATGAAACTGCAGCGACTCCAGACTCAGGTGAGTTTCAGCTGATAAACATCTGATTATTCACTGATAAAACACTGCAGATCTGATTCAGTTTCAGTCTTTCCTCTCATATTGTGATCTGTGTGTGTTTTTAAAGAGGTTCTGAATGAAGTGACTCCAGATCTCCAACATTCAGGTAAACTCCTGTGCTTCTGCATTTCAATATTTATCATTTTTATCACGATCAGCTGTTTTCATCAGTTTATGTATTCAGTCATTCAGTTGCATTTATTGTCTCTCACATGTACAGATCAGCTGTGGTGGATTTCTGCTCTTCTCATTGTCATTCTTCTCCTGGTTTTGATCTGTTTCTTGCTGCGGAAAAGGATCTTCAGGTGATTCTTCAGTCATCTTATACTATAGTTCGCAAGAGCTCATGTCATCACCAATCATTTTCATTCATTTTATCGTCTTCAACAGATCATTTTATTCATGTGATCTCAACTTTAAAATCTCTCTGAATACACAGGCAATATGCAATAACAAGTGTTCACCTGTTTTCAGGTGTTTTCAGAGCGAAGAGTGGTTCATCTGTCAGCACGAAGCTCTAGACAACAGGTGAGTGAATCAAACTCATAACTGTCTCACATGATGATTTCAGAGCTGAATCAGACGGATGATGTTGCAAGCTGTTGAGTCTGCATCTGCTGTTGTGTGACTGAATCTCTTTCACTCAGGGATCTGGTGATGCTCGGATCTGATCCTCCAGGAATCAGTTCAGTGAATCGATTCAGTGAATCGGCTCAATCACCATCTGATGCTGATCACGATTCAATGGTTTGAATCAACATCACGGCTCATTTTAATATCTGTTCAAATGGAATGAGCGATGCCTTGTTGTTTCCTTCACATTGAAGCAGAAAGTCTATTTCCAGACCCTTCACCGTCTCTGTTCCTCTCTGTTGACCTCCAGACGATCTGCTGAGACTCTCATGACCTTCAGGAGGCAGTTCAAGACTCTTTTTCTGCATGCGCTTCACTGACCCACAGTCTTAAATCAAGAAAATTATCTTATGTTCTGTACGGGTTTAACGGTACAGGTATTTCTTTGCCAAACATTTTCATTTTGGCATGCATGTATATCGGAACAAATGCAGCTTTAGAAACATTGATCACAATCAGCATTATCATCTTGAGCTCTATCTCTAGCTTTCAAATTCTGTCTTCAGTTTTATGAGATTCAAACAGTAAACGTGTTTTTGCTGCTCTTTAATGTGAAGTGATGGTCTCTTTCTCTCTACTACTAGTTACAGCAGCAAATAAACATGAATGAACATCAGAACAATCAGAGCAACTCTCTGAATTCAATCATGAATCATGGAATCCATCAATCAGTGATTCAGCCGCAGAAAGACTTCAATAAAACAGCAGCTTGAGATCAATAATACCAACAGTTCAATTTCTAAATGATGCACCTTAATGTAAATGTGTTATATTTGTATTAATTTGGGAGAATATTTATTTTAATTTTACTAAATGCTAATTTTACTTTATTAATTACTGAACAGAGTTTGTTCAATAAAACACCAGAAAAAAAGAAGCTATTTAATGCTTTGTTTTATTTATTTTTCCCCACTGCAAACCGTGACTTAAAAAAACACAATATGTCATTTTTATGTACCTTTACACTGCATTTCACCTCCGCTTTATGTATATGAATATTATTGGGTCTGTGAACTGCTGGAGATTTGCTTCTGGAACTGATTAAACGACTCCTGAATGAATGTAAATGTTCTTAATGTTGTTTATTCACTAGTTTCATATTACCGGTACTTGTATTACTCTGAAACACTCAAAAGAAGATCAATGGGGTTCAGTGCTGTTTCTGTGTTTGACAGATAATTATAATAAATTTTTGAGTGAAGGCTTTAATTCAGTGAGATCACAGCACTTCCATCTGAATTATTTTGTGAATTTGAGTTCTTCAAGCTGTTCAGTTTTGCAGAGCAGCGGCCCAGCGGTCACTTATTCTCATGTTATGACTAAAAACATGCACATAGCACATGTGTGCATGCTTAAATAGCCTATATCTTTTTTTTCTTTTTTCTTTGCCATGCAAAGGTGATAATTAAAACCTGTTTAATCCCACCGGTCACAATAATGACCATAAAGAATGTTTTTGTTTATAAAGCTCTAAAAACACCTGACTGATGTTTTAGAGCATTTTTCTGCAAATATGGAAACAATAAAGGGTCTCAATTAAATATGTGCAGTGGCACATGGTTAGTGCAGATTGTCACATGACCAGAGCAGTTTATTTACAGTTTGCAAAAGGCTAGTAAAGTATGTTAACATAAAGATATGACAAAGATCTTTGGTCCACATTATCTTTAAGGTGTCTAGTATTAATATATGAATTCACATATATTCAGTTTTGTTGAGTGTGGTCATAGAATGAGTAAACATCTTGATGGTCACAGTAGTGACTGCTGGGATAACAGTGACTTTTTTGATGCAATATAAATTCAACTGCAGTTGTTAGTGAAGACTGCACTACAATGTTGCAATGACAATATATTGCACTACATTAAAGTTCAAATGTGACTAATAAGTTACAATATTGATGCTGTAATACTGGTAGCACTAATATAAATATTCAGTACACTTTATTTTACCGGTCATAATTAGTTATTATTATTATTATTACATTATTAGTAACATTTGTGACCAACCATAAATCACAATTTCTCACACACTTTTCAAAAAAATATCAACAACAACAACAGTAATGATAATATTAATAATAATTATTATTATTATTATTGATTATTTCAAATTATTTCACCAAAAACTCCGTCAGTGTGGATCTGACAGCAGCATCATGTCTAGAAACGCTTTTCCAGGTGTGTACACATCAGTAAACCACTCATTAGCTACGCTGTGCGTGTGTTTGTTTGCGTCTAAACAGCTCAACTTTATTAGCAGTCTGTTTATGAACTTGTGTGCTTGATAACATGAGCTCATGATGATGAGAAATACATTATAGAAAACTTTCTGTCACACAGAAACATCCTGCAGCTGTCTGGGAACGCTAGTTTACAGTTATAACCGATGAAGCGTCACATAAAATAACCAAACTTCAACTATATACTACACACTGATCTGTTGATGAGATCTGCTGTCAGTTATTTTCAGTTTTATGGGCTATTAGACAGAAAACAACATTAAACACACATTTTGAAGTAAGTTCTTGATAAAATAAAAAATGTATTATAAGTAACTTTATATAAATAGACATATATATATAGTTTTGAAAGAACTACAGTGGTTTATTTTTACGTTGCTGTTTTAAAAACTACATTGAATTTAGTATATATTATAGTACGTTTCTGTAGAAATAAGTCAGATATTATTAATATATAAAAATAATAAAATACAATTATTTATTTTATTTTTAAAGAATTTTTATTGGAGCGGTAGTTTTCTTTAAAACATCAGGGATATAGGGTGGAGTATACATGCAACAGAAAGTGAAAGTTGAGTAGCTTCTGATCGCAGAATCTCAGCATTTCAGCACGGAAGAAGAATCCCATCAGATCAGTGTTTAAGGTCTTTAAATAGAAACACTTAAACAATGTCACTTTTATATCCTGAATATATCTGAATCTACTGACAAAAGCTTCAACTCCTCAACAACAAGATAAACAGAAGAACGAGCTTTGAAGAAAATACAGAAGGTGAGTGAAATTAGCATCAGGCTAAAACCAGTGCTATGCATTTACTGTGTTACCATTGACCAAATCTCTCTCTCTCTCTCTCTCTCTCGCTCTCTCTCTCTCTCTCTCTCTCTAGATAGATAGATAGATAGATAGATAGATAGATAGATAGATAGATAGAATCTGAAATCTATATCCTTGAACATGAATAAACTGAAATTAAATGGACAAACATTTGGCTACATGAATAGATGTCAGTGCTGTATTCAGCTTTATTTTTCAGTGCATCTAAGTTGGAATATTTCATCATTAGGTGGTTTAGCCCTCACTACAGTTGCTGATAGCGCCATCTAGTGTTGTGGCTGTGTATTGCAGCATGTCGACAGCAGAAATATAAAAAACAATCACACGAGTAGAGCAAACAATCAATGTGCACTGCATGCTGCAGTTATAGAATGAATGCAGGCGTTAATGAAGCCATATCCACAAGAGTCTGTGCTTTATTTTAGCTTAAAAACACTTTAGACAAAAACTTTTGCAGTCTTCTCAAGACAATATCATGAAATGTTTGCTAGCCTCACTAATGCAGCGTAGCAGACACGTCAAAAAAAAAAAATTCATATATAAATGACAGCCTAAAAAGGCTCTAGAACTGCCCTGGTACAAACTTATCTTTATGCTTTCTTCATTCTCTTTTAATAAATGATGTGCAAGTTCCCTTTACTGTCACCGCACTAACTCATATTTGTCTGATCTGATTGTCTTTAGCATGGACTCAGTGGGAGTGAATCTGATAAAAGCAGCTGCTCTTGGGAGACCCTTCCAGCTCGGCATGCTGTATGACTGCAGAAAAGACGAGTTAATAGCAGGTACCAACACAGCCTTTAGAGAGATGCATAAAGAAAATAACACTACCATTTATTTAATACAAGTGCATAATCTAATTTAAAAAATCTAAACTAAGAATAACCCCATAAAAGACACTTTGAAATGGAGAAGGAATATGTCAAAACTGTGTGAGTGAGAAAAAGAAATCATCCCCACCTGCACTGTAAAGGATGATCGTGAATTTAACGGTAAAAGACTGTAAACATGCTACAGTAAAAACCTGTTAAATGGTTACTGGTAAATTTCCCTACTATATACGGTGAGAAACTGTATTGGACATTACATGTAATTTTACGGTAGTATACCATTGTGGAAGTGGAAAAAGACCGTATAATTTACAGTGAATAACCGTAAATTGACATTCCCAAAATTCCCTGCATTACATTTCAAATTTGATGTTGTTTTGTTCAAATAACTTTGTTTCTTCTTATTTTTTTCTTATCAGTTTTGTATATTAGGGTTGTATGTTACACCTAATGTTGTTAAATGAACGTTTATTGCATTATTTCCGTTTCACCTTCTATATGTGTTATTATTTAAAAGCTGCTTGTGATGGGCTTTGGTTCATCATGTGACTTTGATAACCACCAAAAGCAGGGGGTGATGAGAGTGTATTACAAAGGAACAAAACAGATTTCAGTACTTCAGTAGGTTGGTATATTAACATTTTATCAGTTAATGAAATTACGGTATTTAACTGTAAATTTAAATTAAACCCGTAAAACCTAAAATGTTGCTACCGTATTTTTTACAGTAAAATTCCGGCAACCACAGATGCTGTTTTTTTACTGTAAATTTTACAGATTTTTTTTTTACAGTGTAGCGGTGAACATGAGCAATTGTAATAACAGATTTTACTTATACAGCTGTTGAGTTAAAACACTTTTTCCTCCCACAGGAATCAGACTTTGGAATAAAGAACAGCTGGAGCAGAATATTGGTGCTCGCCCCCAGATTAATACAGATTTCAATGTCACAGCTTCAGACTCCATTAAGGACAAATCTAACTTACTAAATATTGAAGGTGGACTGAACCTGAGTGTCTTAGGTGGACTCGTCCAGGTTAGTGGTGCAGCAAAGTATCTCAAAGACACCAAGACGTCTTTCATACAGCAGAGACTGACGCTACATTATCATTCAACCAGCGAGTTTAAAGAACTGACCGTGAATCAGTTACCTTCTGAAAATATTCCTGATGATGATAATGACATAGCCACACATGTAGTAACAGGAATACTGTATGGAGCAGATGCCTGCTTTGTGTTTGACAGACAAGTTTCTTCAGATGAGGACAAAAGGACAGTAAAAGGAGAAGTAAAAATGGCTCTAGAGAAACTGCTGGGTGTCATTTCAGTAGATGCAAACGCTGACCTGAACATGAATGACAAAGAGAAAACTGCAGTGAAAAACTTCACATGCACATTTTATGGCGACTTCCAGCTGCCGTCTAACCCGACCACTTTTGAAGATGCGATGAAGGTTTTTGCTGATCTTCCGAAACTGCTGAAAGAAAACCAACAGCTGGCGGTTCCTCTGAGAGTTTGGCTTTATCCTCTGGACAAACTTCGCTCAAGAGCTTCAAAACTTCTGAAAGACATCAGCATGGATCTAATGTTAGAAACCGAATCAGTGGTTGAGAGTTTATATACAGCTGAGATGAAATGCAGTGATCTTCTGGAAGACTCTCCTGCTGTGACTTTTGCTGCATTTCATGATAAAATTCTGCAAATGAAGCAAAACTGCTACAAGTACAAGTTGAGGCTGGTGAAGAAACTCGGCTCTCTGCTGCCAAACATCCGTGGAGACAAGATGAAGGAAACAGCACTGAATGATCTTCTACAAGAACATGAAGAATCTCCATTCAATGAAAGGGACCTCACAGAATGGCTGAAAGAGAGAGAAAGAGAGTCTGAGATCATTAAGACAGTCCTCAGACAGCTGAAGGATTACGGTGCACAGGTGGAAGTCAACATAGATGCCATCATGATGGATCTGGAGGTTGGAAATCTGGTCAGTTACACGTTCACATCTCTGAACTGGTCAGACACGATCCTTCATAAACAAAAGGCCTATCTGAGTTCTTCAACAAAAGGAGAAAATGTAGAGATAAGCCCTGATATCAAGCAAAAGTCTTGGCTCACGGCCAATATCCAAAAGACCATGAGGAGAAACCTGGAGATATTTAAGAACCTGATGAATTCAAAGGACTGTAAACCAGCCACGTTTATTGTGTCCTCAAAAGAAATGGTGAATAATCCTGGTTCCTGCATTCTGTTGTATGAAAGTGAATGTGAAGAAGCTGTGTGCTTCACTCCTCCATCCAAACCAGTCTGTCCAGTCACTGAAGAGCTCAAAGGTCAGAGTGTGGTTCTGAAGGTGCATCCACCATGTCCTGCTACAGTGGAGCTCAGGTTACTGTATAAAGTGAAGCAGGACTCAGTCTGGAGATCTGAAGCTGTGCTGAAGGATCAACACACAGTTACTCTGACTGATCTGAGAGAAGAAGCTGAGTATGAGATCAAATGTGCTGCGCTGGGGAAACTCAACTACACCGTAGACAGTGATGTTATGCATCTAAGGATCATTGAGAAGAAGCTCATCACGGCATTAGATTGTGTTACTGATAATCTGAGCTTCACTGAAAACAAATGCAGTGAACTGTTGAAAGACCCCAGGACAAACACATTTAGCGCATTTCACAAGAAGATTGAAGATATGAAGCGATTCTGCCAAATCTACAGACAAGATTTCAGTGTTAAAATTCAGTCGCTGATCCGGTCAGTTCAAGCCTGTAAAGAAGAGACTCGTGCTTTGACCAGTTTTCTACAAGTCCATGAGGAGTCTCCATTTAACACACAGGATCTCACAGAGTGGATCAGAGAGAAAGAGAAAGAATTAAACACAGTTAATGAGTTTCTTCAACAATTACTGGACTTTGGAGCTGAAGTGAATACAAGCTTAGATACAGTTTTGTCAGATGTTAAGGTGGAGAATGTGGTTTGCTACACGTTTAGTTCCCTTGAGCAGACAGACAAGCTGCTTTCTGAACAAGAACATTACCTGAAAGCTCAAACAGTGCGGATGAATCCAGGAGCTTCTCCTCGAGTATTGACGTGGCTCACTGGAAACATTAGAGAGAAAATGAGAGAACATTTATTAATTTTTAAGGAGCTGATGACATTGCATAACAGTCAGTCCACTAAATGTATTGTTTCCTCAATAGACCACAAAAATCATCCTGGTTCCTGCATTCTGCTGTATGAACATGGATGTGAAGAAG